TGTAGCCCAAAACATAAAGACAATAACAAATACAAAAGGGTTTAAAAAAACAAAAATTCTTACAAACATATACATATTATATAAAGAAAAAGTGCGTGTAGCCCAAAACATAAAGACAATAACAAATACAAAAGGGTTTAAACAAACAAAAATTCACACAAACGGGCGCGAAATACTAAAGCACCTAAATACAACAACATAAATAGAAATAACTTAAACGGGCGCGAATTTAAAACAAACGATAATAAACAAAAACAACAATCACTAAAACCAAGCTCAACTAGAAGCGGAGAAAAAGGAATTGACAACAAAGGAATACACACACGTACATACATATATATTATCCACTCAAAAAACCCTTGAGGGAGCATAAAGTGAGTCGTATCGTTTCCTATTATTTTATTTTATCGTGTAAAAATTACAGTTTTATATATATAGAAACCGTAATAACAAATACGTTTACCAAAAAAAAAACGGTTACCAAACTGTCTCAGTTTCGAGTTTTTTTTTGCGGGAAAAACCGAACACAGTCTGGTATAACATATATTTCAAAAAACATACTTATATATTAAAACAAAAACAAAAATTAATATCACCTTATTGCCTAACTACAAGCTTACCTTTGTGTATTCAAACACACAAATTAACAAACACAAAAAACAAATTCAAGTATATACTAGCACGTTTCTCCCGCAATACCCCTTATGTTAAAAAAAAAAAAAAACAATAAGCAGGATTGCATAAACTAAGTAAGCAAAGGCACAAGTACAAATCAAAATTCTAATATAAAAACCAAAAAGAAGAAAACAAACAAAAGCATACATATATGCATATTTGCTTACATCTTATACCTATATATATTTTTGATATGCATATTTACATACCAAAACATAATTGCACATAAATACAAAGCGCATACGGGAACATACCTGCACATTATTCACTTCGCTTTCGCGCTCTCTTTGAACATACATATTTATACATACGGCATATAATCTATGCATAAGCTTATATACCCTATATCAATTGGGTCAATTACATATTGAAAATTTACAATATAAAAAGTCGTAAAATTACATGAAAAATTAAACAATAAACTTTGTGGTAAAATTAACACTACTACAATTGCTTGTAGATATTAAAAATTTAAAAATAATAAATAATTTATTATAAACAAAAATAAACATATTTTTAAAGTTCACATTGGCATACATCCCGCAATACCCCTTGTAACAAACAAGCAGGATTGCGTACATAAAAAACTAAAAGCACATTGTAGTTACTCACTTTGCTTTTATTCTTTCCGAAATACAATTTCACTTAAATATAATATAATATTTTAAATTATTTAATGTTAAATACACTTGACTTTGATTTGATATAAAATTTCACTTTTATATATTATTATATTTTAAATTCTTTAAGGTTAAATACACTTGATTTTTATTTGATATACAATTTCACTTTTTATATATTATAATATTTTAAATTCTTTAAGTTTAAATACACTTGATTTTGGGGCACTTCCGGACAAACTTCGCTGCTACGTTTTTTCCTTTACGAACTGGTGTCGAGAAACGAAAAAGAGCCATTCTGGTCTGAACAATCCTTTTTGTTTATTTGGGTGGTGAAAAGATGATGATTGAAGTGTCGGTGTGTAGTGTGGTTGGTTAGTTGTACAAGTATATGGTTGTGTTGGTTGGTGATATGGTGTGTTGTAGGTGGTGTATGATGTTGCATTGTGTTATGTTGTGTTGTATGATGTTGTACGGTGGGTTGTGAGCTTAGTTGTCGCGGGATTAGAAGTCGCATGAACATCCCGGCCCCCCTAGGCGAATTAATTGCCTAGAAGTCTCTGCAACTGTTGCAGAGTGCTCACTACGGCGTTCAATTCGGTTGCCTTTGCCGCTGGTTGCGATGACCATAGGGTGGGGGAGCTGGCCGCGAGCGTGCCCCTCTGGATGGCTTCGGGCGATGTATTCTTTGGCGCTGGACGGGATTCCCTTGTTGTCTGTGCCGGTGACTGGTCTGCGTAGTGGACGGATTTGCTCGTCCAGGGAATCGATGGAACAGAGTATGATGCGGTCGTTGGCAATATTGACACGATCCGTCGGTTATACACTCGGTTGTACACTCAAAGGTGGAGTGACTATCTGCCAAGCAAGTCATACAGTGTCCGTGGGCTCTGGCGATCTGTTGGCGTTGAGCGGGCTTCATGCTTTTGAAGATGGTGCAGCTCTTCAGGACGTGAGGTCGATGGCATAGACTACATCGTGGAGGCAGATGCTCATCAAACTGCTCCTCGTTTGCATCCCTGACTGCTGTTGCAGATGATTGGCTGTGTGGTGCCGTGGCGCAGCAATTACGGACCTCACAGTCTTGGGAGCGCTGTGTATATCTTCTACGTCCATTTCTATTGGAATAGGAATATATTAAAATATGGTTTAGCTCAAAATTTTGAATTATGATATTTGCTACTTGGTTTGAAAAAAAAAAAAAAAATATATATATATATATATATGTATATGTGACTATATATAGTTCGTGACGTTGAATTTGTTAATCGACGTTTGTTATGTTAGTAATTTGCATGTACGGATTATAAAACGGTAGTATTTCGAGTTAAACGAATTAATTGTCGTTTTGATTTTATTTATGCGCTTGTCTTGGCGGGGTTTGTGTAATCGGTTCTTCGGTGTTCGGAAGAAACACAATTTACTAATGGTCGAGTTAGTATACAGTTTGGGTTCGTACGTTACTATTCTTATGTGACCATCTCGTTCCCGATGGACCTTTTCAATGCGGCCTAGTCGCCATTCTGTTGGAGGAAGGCATCATGTATGATGACGCATTCGCCCGTATTTGGTTCCTTCTGGTCGTTTCCACCGATGTCTCTTGAGATCTTTAAGGTAATCTTCCTTCCATCTATGGCTGATTCATGATGAAGTTTCTTAATTTTTTCCAATCGGTCTATTAAATTGAGTGAGTCTCCTTCTGCCTCAGGTATGGCGAGAAGTGGAGTCCTCTGAGGAAAAGTCCAGGTGTAAGAGCTGTGAAATCGAAGGGATCTTGCGAGAGTGGTGAGATGGGTCTTGAATTTAGTACGGCTTCTATACGAGCGAGTAGTGTGGTAAATTCCTCATAATTGAATTTATGATTACCTGCCGTTTTCTTTAAATGGGACTTAAAGCTTTTTACAGCTGATTCCCAGAGTCCGCCCATGTGAGGAGAACAGGAGGGTATAAACTGCCAATCGATTCCTTGTGGTGCATATTTTTAACAATTTCTGGAGAGCTTCTTTAGTAAATTTTACAAACTCTTTCTCTGTGGCTCTTTGAGCTCCGATAAAGTTTTTCCCATTGTCGCTCATAATTTTTGATGGAAATCCGCGTCGTCCGACAAAGCGTGCAAATGCTGCGAGAAAAGCCGCAGTAGACAGATCCAAACATAGCTCGAAGTGTACTGCCTTTGTCGTGAAACATACAAAGACAGCCACATACCCTTTTCTGAATGAGGAAGACCTTAACATAGAGGCCTTTATTTGGAAAGGTCCAGCAAAATCGACCCCAGTAATGGTAAAGGGAAGAGCGAAATTGCAGCGTTCAGGTGGCAAAGCTGCCATGATCTGCGTGCGTATTTTGTGCTTGTACAATGTGCATTGTTTACACATAAAAATCGTTCTTTTAATTTGTGGCTTTAGGCGCGGTATATAAAATTCTAGTCGGACCATTTGTTGCATCAAGCGATGCTCACCATGTAATGTAAGTTGGTGAAGATATATTAAGAGTAAATAAGTAAAACGGGATTTCTCGGGAATTATAATGGGATGTCGTTCGTTATAACTAAGGCTGGAATTCACTAGTCTTCCATGTGCCCGGATTAATCCTTTAGTGTCCAAAAAAGGGTTTAAAACGAGAAGTGAGCTTCCCTTATCGAGGGGTCGTCTTTCGACTAACTTTAATTTCTCCCGAATGAAATAGCGAATTTGTGTATATGTAATTAGGATGACCTTGGCATGTTGCATGTCGGAATGCGTTAATTGTACGGAAGGATCATTTGTTATTCCTTTAACCATTTGTTTGAGTCTTTGGATAAATTTAAACATGTAAGCGACTACTTCTACTGCTTTTGGGAATGATGAAAATCGATGTAATATATCATCTTCATCAGGAGTGATATAAAAGTTTTCAATTCTCCGAATTTCAGGAGCTATTATATTGCGAGCGGGAGACTTTGGCCAGACTTCTTGTGATTCTGTTAACCACGTAGGACCGTTCAACCAGAGTGTAGTGCTGGTGAGATGAAGTGGTTTGCAGCCTCTTGTCCCAAGATCCGCTGGATTATCTGCACGTGCAACATGTTGCCATTGTGCTGGGCCAACTAAGTCTAATATTTGAGATATACGGTTAGATACATAATTCTTCCAGGTATATGGTGGTTTTTCTAGCCATGCTAAAACTATTTCTGAATCTGACCAAAGGTACATTTTGTGATTGGTTAATTTCAGATGGGTTTGGACTATTGAGACTAGTTTTGCTAACAGAAGTGCACCATTCAGTTCGAGCCGTGGCAGGCTTAGTGTCTTCAGGGGAGCAACTTTGGCTTTGGCTACCAAAAGACGTGAAGATATTTTGTTATCATATTCAGTGCGTACGTAAACTGTTGCCAAATAGGCCTTTTCAGAGGCATCACAGAAGCCATGTAATTCTACATTATAGTCAGGTGCGAAATTTACCCATCGAGGAATTCGAATTTCCGAGATGGTATGTAGATTGTTTGCAAATTGAACCCACTTTGTTAAACGTATGGGTTTTACTTGCTCATCCCATTCAGTGCCGTCTTGCCACAGTTCTTGAATTAGGATTTTTGCTTGAATCATTATTTGCGAAAGCCATCCTGCGGGGTCGAAAAGTTTTGCCACCGAGGAAAGTATTTGACGTTTGGTTATGGCGGATATTGCCGATATTGACTCAATTGTATATGAAAATTGATCTGTTATCGCATTCCATTGAATCCCGAGAGTTTTTGTAGTGCTGGCCTTTTCAAATTTAAGGAAGTTAGTATCTAATAAGTCTTCCCCTTTTATATTTTTTATTATCTACGGAGGTTCTGATATAATTTTCTTTAGGGGGAACCCAGCTGAATTTAGTGCTTTGATCACTTGAGATAGTGATTCGCAAGCTAATGAGAGACTGTGGCTACCTGATAGAATATCATCAACGTATGTTTGTTTTTGTAGCACAGAAGTTGCTAAAGGCAAATTTGTTTGACAGGTTTTTGCCACTTCATGTAATGTCCTAATGGCTAAATAGGGTGCACAATTGATGCCAAAGGTAACTGTTTTAAGTTTGTAGTCGCTGATTGGACTATTACTTGATTTTCGCAAGACTATCCGCTGGAAATCTTAGTCATCTTTACGTACTAAAATTTGTCTATACATTTTCTCTACATCTCCATTGAAAACATATTTAAACATGCGCCAATTTAGTATTAGCAGCATGAGATCAGGTTGTAATGTTGGCCCTGTGTATAGTACATCATTGAGTGATTTGCCTGAGCTCGTACACTTTGAAGCAATAAAAACAACTCGTACTTTTGTTGTGATTTTATCTGGTCTTATTACCCCGTGATGCGGAAGATAAAAAGATAAATATCTACCTTTAGATATTTTTTCATATGGTACAGCTTCTTCCACATGATTGAGGTCAAGATATTCATCCATCACGTCATCATATGCTGATTTAAGCTCGCTTTTCTTTATCAAGCTTTTTTCCAAGCTTAGGAATTGCTGGACTGCTGATATTCTCGAGTGGCCTAGAGCTATCGTTTCTGGAAAGGTGGGCTTGAATGGGAGTCGCACAACATAACGACCATGTTCGTTTCTTGTTGTTGTGGACTGGTAATAGGCTTCGCATGCCAGGTCTTCTTCTGAAGGTTTTGTGATTTGGGGTAGTTCTTCTACTTCCCAGAATTTTTTGAGTTGATTATTTAAATATTCGTTTGAAATATTTTCAACTTGAGTTGTGAAGGAGTTAATTTTTTCTGTGACTTGGCCACTTAATATCCATCCAAAGATTGTGTTTTGGGCTAACAATTTATTAGAGATTTTCTCTATACCTTCAAGAATTATTTGAGGTATTAAGTCGCTGCCCAATAATATGTCGATTTGTGATGGGGTATGGCAGTTGGGATCTGCTAATTTGAGATATGAGCATTTTTCCCACTGTTTTTTATTTACTTCATAGCTTGGAAGCAAATTAGTGAGCTGCGGTAGAACAATTTCTTGTGCATCTATTCGTATATCCGCGTTTGGAGAGACTATGGTGATTGGGCAAACTTTATTTGAATTTTGTATAATTCTTCCGCCCATTCCCGAAATTTGGAAACTAGAATTTTTGACTGGCAATTTTAGCCGATTCTGAGCTTTTGATGATATAAAGGATCTTTGAGAGCCTTGATCTATTAATGCTCTTAATTTGAATAAATCTCCTTTATGTTCTATAGCAATGACCGCTGTGGGTAAAAGAATTTTGCTTTCATTCTCTGAATGAAGCGCTTGAACTTTTGCTGCTTTTGAGCAACATGGGTGTTCCTCTTTATTTTCGGGACTCGGGATTTCGGGATTACCTGATTTGGTTGTCGCGACTAGGCCCGTGGTTTTATGTATATGAGTTTGCTTCATATTTGTAAAATTGGTTATGTGAAGCAATGATTGATGTCGTCGTTGACAGTACACACAACTGAATTTGCTTTCGCAGTCTTTTGTCCCGTGAGAGTTGGACAGACAGTTGATGCAAAGTTTATGTTGTCGAACAAGATTGTTTCTATCTGAAACGGACATTTTTTTAAATTTCTCGCAAGATCTTATATTATGTCCTCCTTTACAGATTTCACATAATGATTGCCAATGGTTTGTTTGATTTGACACGAATGTTTGGCTTCTATTAAAGTGTCTATTATATTGTGTGTTATTACTGACTTGGGGTTTAAAAAAGTTTTTATTTGAGTCATTTTGATGACCTTTTGGCTTAACTATCTTTTTATCTACTCGCTCAGCTATTTCGTACTAAGTTGTTAAAAATTCTTCCACTAGTGATTGCTCCCATCGTAGCAAAGCAGCATCAGTGTCGCTGCGCAAATATTTACTAGGATAGGGTCCCACGATTCTGTGGATACATTTTGTGTTTCTAACACAGATAAGCAATTAGTCACTGTCGAGTATAGTTTTTGAAATTCTTGGCTGGTTTCTTGTTGAATTTTTGGTAAATTCATTAAAATAGTTATTTGGTTATCTACCAATACTCTTTCGTTTTCGTATCTTTCGACCAGTGCATCCCAAGCCAGATTAAAATTTTCGTCATTCAAAGCGAAACGCTTGACAATACTGCCTGCTTCCCCTTTTGTTTTGTACCTGAGATGGTACAGCTTTTGTGCTCGTGAAAGTTTAGGATATACACGGCAGTGAACATGTCCCGGAAGGACGGCCATTGATCATAACCTCCATGAAAAACTTCAGTATCACAAGCTGGTACTTTTAAAAATATACCTGTATCTAGGTTTTCTTTTGAATTTGTAACTACTCTCGGAGGAGGAGTAGTGGCTCTACATGGCCTTAATAAATTTATTTGGTCTAATATCATTGCCTTCGTAGTTTCGTACTGATCGAGGCAGTTTTCATATTTGGCTGACGCCGAAGCTTTAATGTTTTCTGGAAGTTCAGCGTCGTCAGTATCTAATATTGTATCGTACGCTGTCAGAACGCGTGCCCATATATTATCTATGCTTTGAATTTTTAAATTTAGGACTGTTTCTGTATTGTCGTTGATAGGCGAAGCCGAAAACCGTGTGCAGTATCTAATAAAACTGTCACTTTCAGTTATGAACCTTGACAGTGAATTGTCTTTGGTTCTTTTTTGTTTTGCACCCTGCTTTGAGCGTGTAGCTTCTGCGGGTGTGACTTTGGCTTTATCATCATCAGCCATTTTTGGAATTTCTAATGATAGAGGTGTTCGTGGTTTAACCTCTTTTGATTTATCAGATTGCATTTATAACTCTTTGAATTAAATTGAAAGCTATTAAAATAGTTTTGTATTAAATATTTGCTATAATACGGTTGTAGTAAAAAAATTTTAGTTTGCTGCCCAAAGCTGTAGTTAAAAAAAATTTTTTTTTTTTTTGAAAATAATTGTAAAATTAATCTGTTGTAATTTTTTTTTTTTTTTATTCATCGGACAAGTCAATTTATTTTATTAAAAATTATGTCCGTGTTATTATTATCTTAAAAATTGCCGAAATTGCTTACTGGGTATTCGTTTCACTCGCGAATAATTTGTATATTTTGTATGTATGTATATTCGTTTTTATTATATGTATCTATATACATTTGTTTAAAAGGAACGCGAAAATAAAATTGTTCTTAACAACAAATGTAGATATATATCTGCATACCTATGTATGTTAATTTTAATTTTCATATTTTTGTATATGCTAATCCGTTTTGACCGTATACTTTTTAGTTATATTGACATGTGTACATATACATATATGTACATGCATACATGTAACGCGTTTTTGTAAAGTTTTGCTGAGAGTGCCTATATTTATATATATATATATTTGTAAATATATTACTTTTTATGTATATTTTTTAAGAGAATATATAAGAGATATGAGAAGAGTAAAAAGGTTGGGTTGCGGTATATATGTAGCGCAGGAAATATGCCAATGTTTAAGAAAATATGTGTACATACATAAATGCCGATAATGTTCTTGTTGTTTTTTTTTTCTTTCTGCCTTTGCTTATATGTTCTAAGCGATCCTGCTTGTTGCTTTATCGGCCCAAGGGGTATCAGTGAAAAGTGTGCAAGTCGATGAACTTGACTTATAAAATTTTTTGTACTTTTTCTAGTGGTGTGTTTGGAGACACGAATTAAGCAGGCAGGTATTTGAACAACAGTAATTTTTTTTATTTTTATTTGAACTTTTAGAAGTAGTTAATTTATGTATGTACCATATGATTATGTATGCATATATGTATGTTGTTAAAAGGATGTTACTTGCGGTTAATATTTTTCGCGGCAAAGTTTTAAAGCCCAAAAATTTTATATTTAAATTATAGGTATTTGCACATATGTATGTATGTATTTCTGTAATATATATGAGTTTTTGTTAGCCTTTGCTTATGCGTTATAAGCGATCCTGCTTGTTGCTTTATTAGCCCAAGGGGTACCGCTGAAAATATCGCAAGCAGGAATACTTGACTTTGAAAATTTTATTATTATTTTTTTTTTGTTTTAAAGAATATAACAGTGTGTTTGGAGGCACGAAATAAGCTGAGGCAGGTACCGTATAATATATATATATATATATATTTTTGTTCTTTTTCAGTTATATCGTTCGGTTATTTATTTCTACCGAAATACCGATACGATGTAACTAACATACATATGTACATATGCGCATAAAATATCTCTATTTGCAAATTAAATCGGAATGGACTCACTTTTTTTCCCGCCAAGGGTTTATGGGTAGCAATACTTCCTTTCTCTTCTTTTTTTATTATGGTTGTGTTAAATCGCGCCCGTTTTTAATTTTTAGGTCTTTTTTTTATATTTTAGTTGGTTTCGCGCCCGTTTGTTGTAATTTAATTTAACCACTTAGTATAGTATGTATGTTAGTACTTATGTTTTGAAAAGATTTCACTTTTTTATTTGATTTTTTTTTTTTTGATAGGTGCCTTTCAAGGAGGTTCGAAGGACCATTTAGTTACTCACTTTGCTTTTATTCTTTCCGAAAGACAATTTCACTTAAATATAATATAATATTTTAAATTATTTAATGTTAAATACACTTGACTTTGATTTGATATAAAATTTCACTTTTAAATATTATTATATTTTAAATTCTTTAAGGTTAAATACACTTGATTTTTATTTGATATAAAATTTCACTTTTTATATATTATAATATTTTAAATTCTTTAAGTTTAAATACACTTGATTTTGGGGCACCTCCGGACAAACTTCGCTGCTACGGTTTTTCCTTTACGAACTGGTGTCGAGAAACGAAAGAGAGCCATTCTGGTCTGAACAATCCTTTTTGTTTATTTGGGTGGTGAAAAGATGATGATTGAAGTGTCGGTGTGTAGTGTGGTTGGTTAGTTGTACAAGTATATGGTTGTGTTGGTGGGTGATATGGTGTGTTGTAGGTGGTGTATGATGTTGCATTGTGTTATGTTGTGTTGTATGATGTTGTACGGTGGGTTGTGAGCTTAGTTGTCGCGGGATTAGAAGTCGCATGAACACATTGATCTCATCAACGAGTTCTCAATTGCATTAGAGAATATACATACATACGCTCAAACAATCCGTGCATACTTATGCACAAAGTGTATTGATCTCTTCAACGAGCTCTCAATTTCACGAGCACATAAATATATACTAACAAGTCCGTGTATTAGGGTGTACCTAAATACATCAACATAAGGACATAAGAAATATTATTGAATTAAAAGTGCGATTTTTATCAATTAAATAAAATAATATATTCAAAATAAAACCACAACAAAATCATATCGCAAGTAAATTCAGTTTACAATGAAAATTAATAAAAGGTTATATATTAATAATTCATTGAAACATTATATAAATAACATAACAAAATTGGTTAATGGCGGCAAAAGTCAAACTACACTTGTAGGAGCTACACGCCCAAAACAGGTTGACAAATTTATTTCTGAGAGTGACAGATTAACACGATACTGCACTCGATTTTCATCTTCACCGATTCAAGACATCTCTGAATCGTTATTGGAAATAAAAAAACAAAATATTGACAATTTTTGGAGTCGTCTCCAAACGGCTCATGACGCCATTGTAGATTATGACAATTCAGATCTAGCACACGATTTTAAATCATCGGCTTACGCGCTATACGAAAACTGCTTAGACCATTACGAAGAAACAAAAGCTATGATTTCTGATCAATTAAAGCTAATAAAAGCAATTGCACCTACTTCACATCAGCGAGTAGAGCTGCCACAAGTACAAATTCAAGAGGCAAGTTCAGGCATCCATCTCGAGGTGCCCGCATGTGACACAGAAATATTTTATGGAGGTTATGAAGAATGGCCGTCCTTCCGGGACATGTTCACTGCTGTATACATCAACCATCCAAAATTATCAAAAGCGCAAAAATTATATTACCTCCGATACAAAACTAAAGGTCAAGCAGGCGCAATAGTAAAACAGTTCGCACTAAATGACGACAATTTTAATTTGGCTTGGGAAGCTCTAACATCTAGATATGAAAATGAAACAATATTGGTCCATAAACAAGTAACGACACTAATAAACTTGCCTAAAATTCAAAAAGAAACAAGTGAAGAATTTATAAGACTACAATCCACTGTTTCAAACTGTTTGTCGGTTTTATCGACACAAAATATTCCCACAGACAGCTGGGATCCTATACTGATAAACATATGCACTGCCGCATTACCAGAAAAATCGTTACTTTTATGGGAGCAATCGCTCTCATTACGAAAGAAATGCCCCACGTGGCAACAAATGAAAGACTTTCTAACTACCCAGTACGAAATCGCTGAAAGGGTAGACAAAAAGCTAATTAAAACAAAAATTGTACAACATGGCCAAAAAAGAAGCTCCAATAGACTCCAAGCTAGTAGCAAAAATAAATTAAACAGAAGATTTTACAAATCTCAATCGTTCACATCCGAACTAAATAAATATACGTCATGCGAAATATGCACAAGAGTGCATAAACTACAATCTTGCGAGAAATTCAAAAAATTAAAAATTAAAGAAAGAAACTATTTCGTGAGATCAAAAAAATTATGTACAAATTGCTTATATTGTTACAAAAGACACCACTCAATGCTTCATTACAGCAAATTTCCCATATCACCCCAAAGAAGCGTTTTTACAAAAAGAACCACAGGTTTAGTTTCAACTGCAAATCCCGAAGACCAAAATACCGAAATTTGCCAACTGACACCACGTTGCTCAAAGGCACAAAACACTCAAACGCTACACAGCGAAATACAAAATAGGGTATTACTACCCACAGCAGTCATCTCCATCGAACACCGAGGAGAGCTAGCCGGTACGTCGTACGACTACCACCAAAGCCACAAACTTCTAACACTCTACAAATTGGCACAAAAAACCATGTGAGAGTTTGTTCTGACAACCCCAGTGTTAAAAACACAAATATATATAATTCAACCAAATCATCGAGATTTATTACTAAGTATTCGAAAAGAAAATTTGTTGTACACTAATTTCCTTAAATTGCAAAGGGCAGTACAACATAAAAATACAGGGGATCCAATGGAATGCGATATCTGATCAGCTTTCATATCCTACTGAATCAATATCCGCATTATCCGCAATAACATTTTTGACCCGCAGGATGGCTTTCGCCAATTATGATACAAGCGAAAATCCTAATTCTTCTTCGCTTAGAACACAACTTAGGTCACAATCTTAACGATATCAGAATCTACCGATTCTTGGCCACAATCGCCCACTTCCATACATAATATCGTCCGCAACATACGAGTAATTGTCATAGAATGTCCAAAAATCGACACTTCTCTTACTATAGTGCCTCATAGTTGCCTAAATTTTCATAATCAAATACAATTCAAAATTAAAGTTAAGGAATCACCATACTTGCAATGTGATACAGTGAAGCACCCAGACTTACAAAAAGCAAAGGTCACACTTATTGCATCTATCTAAGCGCTCATCATACGGGTAGCTTATGGGAAACACTTATAAAAGTTGTAAATCTCACTTCAAAAAAGTGAGCGAAAATCACAAATCTCACTCTCGCAAGATCCCTCTTCAAAGATTTCAAAGGAGCACCCATTCTGGCCATATCTGAGACAGGCGTGGAGTCGCTAACCATAATAAACCGATGGTAAAGAAATTTTAAACAAACAATACAGATAATAAAATTATAAAAGAAACAACCGCAATACAATAAGTATGAAAAGCACATACAACCTCAAAACCCGCAAAATTAAGTTACATATCTTTTGCACGCACAGCAAAATGCATACCGAATATGCCTTCTGCCCATACAGGTAAATGTGGATATAACTTTATCACCATGTATATGCAATATAAGCATTTACGTGTAATACTAGGCAAAATATTCGCCTAGGGGGCCCAGGATGTTTAAATGAGATTAAACTCCCTCCTCCAAGTGCACCACTCTACTCGGGAAAAACTGACACGCCTTAATGCAACACACCACACCTGTGAACACCTAAGGAATTTAACCCCACACCAGATGACACCACACAGGACAACACAACATACCATTTCTCATTCGCTATATATTCATTCGCTTATCGTCTACGGGCCTGAGCGCCACATCCACTTTCCGTTTTTTAGCATTTCGACTCGCTAGCGATCAGATCTTCGAGCACCCGCCTAAATCGACTCCCTTTTTTAATAATTTTGCCAACGGTGAGTGAAGTTAAAATTAACTTATTAATTAATTATTCAAGTGGATTCGTGAATAATTTTTTAAAATAACATCCCTGGTAAAGTAAATAAAGTTATTCTAATGTTTACGATAAATCACCCGTAGCGAAACAGTAAATTTGACTTAATAACAAAAGTGTATAAAAAATTCAAAACTCTTGTCTTATCATACTAATAATTATCTGTTTTGTTTAATTATGAAGTATTCAAAGTTAGAAATTTAAACAAAGAATACTGGTAATTACGTACAGAAAATGGTACTTTTAATTTACTATTAAATGGTTTCAGTTCTCGAATCAAAAATTGTCAGAATGAGTGATGGGAGAAAACGACTAAGTGGGGCCGAGTATAGAAAAAGAGCAGAAATTAAACAAAGAAGAACAGAAAGAAGTCATCCGACAAACAGTAAAAATTGACATTTTAAAAAATGAAAGTAAAAGCAGTATTTTGAATGCGGAAACTTCAAACATAAGTCTTAATACAATACAATCCGAAGAAGATGAGACCGATACATACTCTGCTGTTTGTGACAGTGTGGCAGAAGCGGAATCATCTGTAAGTCCAACAATTAAAGATTCGTCTCAGAATCAAACGTCGAGTACTAATGACGTCGAAATAGTACAAACAATCAAAAGTCTAAACAAAGATCCCGCGCTATGGATAATGGACGATAACTTGAAGGAGATGATCGCTAGGTACGGCTTTGAAACAAACAAAACAAATCTTGTGACTTGTGAGAGAATATATGCTCATCAGCGTCGTTTTCTGCCAATTAGTATCTTCCAAAGAAAAATGAAAAAAATCAAAGATCGAAATTGGTTAGTTTATTCTGAAAGTAACAGATCTGTATATTGTGGACCGTGTTTGGCATTAGGTCCATTGGAGTGTAGAACTCAATTTAAGAATGGAGGATTCAATGCAGATCATCGAGTAGCTCAGAATGAGAACTCTGAGCGTCATAAATCTAGTATTCTTAGTTTGAAAGATGACCGACTTGATAATTTATTGCAGGTCCAGATTGATGAAGAAATAACTTACTGGAGAAACGTTCTGATGAGAGTTGTTGCTGTCGTGAAGCGATTGTGTTCAAGAGGTCTCGCTTTTAGAGGGGAAAAAGAAAAATTTGGAGATCCACATAATGGAAATTATTGTATGGATTTGGAAATATTAGCGGAATTCGATCCTTTTATGACTAATCATATTGAACGGTTTGGCAATCAAGGATCAGAGGCTACCAGTTACTTATCAAATACCACTTGCACTAAAAAAAGCAAAATATTTTTCTTTAATCATCGATTCAACACCAGATATAGTCCACATATATCAACTCACGCTCGTTATTAGATAAGTTTTGGATTCTGGTGAACCATGTGAAAGATAACTCAAATTTTTGCAGTCAGTAGGACATAAAGCTGAAGAAATGTTTTCTGCCGTTACTTTAGAACTAAAAACCCTGGGAATAAATATTGAAGACTGTCCCGAACAGTCATATGATAATGCCGCGAACATGTCTGGCGTGTACAATGGCTTGCAACCGAAAATTCACGACCAAGCACATTTG